ACATGGTTAAAGACGAAGGCGTGCTATAGTGGCTAGGGACCATGCCCACTTTTAATTAATTCTTTCCTCGTAGGTCTCTTTGTATAAAGTTTTAGCTTGTAAAAAGAATTTTTTCCATTGATTGAATTTTTTATACTTTTAGATTAATTAATATATAATCAATTTTTTTAACATCATGTTGAACATTATTAATTAAGTATTCGCTAATTAGCCCAAAATAGTAGACTTACCCCTCGTGGAATATAAGTAAGAATTTAACTTAAATTTCTTCACATATTAAAATGATACTGTGATAGTCAGCACTGAGTGGCCGACTGATCAACTATGAATCTTGAAAATTTACTCAATTATTAACTTTAGGACCTCACAAGATTAGTTGAGATATACATAAGCTGGCCTCGATACTCTTGTTAAAAGAAAAAAAAAAATTGGTACTGTGATAAATTTATTTTATGTTCAGTAACTATCTGACCCAAAAAGCATATATTAAGAATTATTATAAAAATTAATATTTAACACTTAACAAACTTAACCCTAGGTCTACAGCATAAGTTCTTGATTATATACATATGGGATTAATCTCTTGAATATCTTTAGGGATCCATCCTAGTCCTAGAATTTGAACTTGGATATTCCAAGATCTAAAGTTTAAGAATAATCACTCTTAAGTTCGAGATTTCTCTAATTAATTAATCAGTATAATATTGTTACATGATGGGACCTTCAACCTTGTTATTAAAATCCAAAAATTGGCCGGTAACAAGAACAAAATTTATGGGTCCATCCCCCATGAAAAAAAAATCTTGTACAGCAGTTCAACTAATTAAAATTATTGGAAAAAAAATCAAAATTTTCTACGTCAAAAAGCAGCTTTTCTTATTTGCATGTAATTAGTTTAACTTTTAGTAGAAATTTTGGTTCCTTAAAGGTTCATGTTAGAGTGATTTGGACTAAGTCAATTATATTAAATTTAATTAATTAATATTATATAATAATATTGGTCGGTAATAATTTATCGTATATGTATTATACACGTAGAAAATCTTGCAACTTGATTAATTTAATTATAATTTTATTAAGTAATGGTGAAAAACAGAAATAGTAATCCTAATTGTTAGATGGAAACATTCTTAATTAATTATATGATTTTGACTGGTCAATTACTTCCAAGTAGAAAGTGACAACAAAGTGTACAAAAATATCAATAGAGCCGACATGAAATGTTAATAAGTTATAAACAAACTTATATAAAATGATTGAAGACGTCCAATTATTGAATACAAATTATTAAGTGTATGTTCTTGTATAATCTTCAATTAAATCAATTCAAACACGGATTCTCAAAGATAAACACAATCAAATTAAAATTTGAACAAACATAAGTATCTTGTCCCGATTATATACTCTACCTTTTTTTTTTTGAGTAAATAATATAATTAATTAAAGATCATATATGTTGTGCAGCCTTTTGGACAATCGAATTCGTGCCACTTGTCCTCTACATCATGTCGGGATCTAATTATCAATAGCTCATCAGTATTAAACATAAGTGTTCAGACCTAAACATGGGAGGCTTGATTCATATCCAGATTACGAGGATTTTGTATATAATCCACCTTGTAATCAGATAGTGTATAAAAGGGAGAAACCACCATCGTTTTGGGAGATCGATTATTCACACAAAGAATAGGAAATCGCTTAGAGATAATTTAACCTCGTTTTTATGTGTTTTTCCTTGTAATCACCTTGTATGTAATGTAAATAGAAAACAATAATATAATAGTGGATATAAACTTGATTCTAACTAGTTGAACCACCTTAAAAAACCCTTTTTTTGTCTTTTCATTATCTTCTCTACTCGGTTCTTAGATGGTATAATATAATGTTGATTTGATTCTAACTGGTTTTTCGCTTCTAACTTCAAAATAATAACAGCATAGAGTATATTGATTTGATGTGTATAATATAATGTTGCCAAATCTTCAAGAATACCGTAGAATTCAATGATTAGCTGCTAATTAAATGATCAAGAAAAAGATTAATGACAAGTAATTATCAAATCCAATAGAGCTTAATTCCACGTGAAGCATGTCAAAGAGAGAAGCTAGGCCAAGGTAAGTTGAAAATGTGACATCTGTGCTGCAATTTCACTTTCATGTCCACACCTAACATATTACCTAAACCTTTTGGCCTTATAAGTGCAGAGCAGAGCCACCAATTTCATCATGCATTATAAAAGAAGAAAAAATTGAAAATAAAAATAATTAAAAAGTTAAAAACGACTTCTGGTTATTAATAATCAAACATCAATCTTTGCCCACAAGAAATCACATTCCAGAATCCAGCTCATCTTTTCTCCATTATTCTATTATTGTTTTAGAATTATTGTTATCGGAACTTTGTGTTTCCGTTGCTGTCAATGTTTTTGGTTCATTCAAATCAAGTAATCAGTTGCCATTTTTGTCTAATTTATTATATATATATAATATATATGAACATCACTGATGCATATAATTTTTTTTTTTTTTATAACCAGGGTATTTGGGTCAGTTTACACGTACCTCAATTAATCTTTCGGGATCTTGGAACTACTAGTCGGATAAGAACTCCAGTAGTAACCTTTATTAGCAATCGAGGAAGGACTCGAATTTAGAACATCTTGAGTAATATACCCAAGAGTTTTTATTAAACCATTCGGCTACTCAGAGATAGTTAGATGCCTATAAATTTGCTTTCTCTATAAAAAAATTACTACACTACTTATTTAAAAAACCTTTAAAATCCGTACTTTTATTCCGTAGACAAAATTTAAAATATATTTATACCAGGTATTTTATTGAAATCTTATCTTTTAAATTCTATAGACAAAATTTAAAACATATTTATACCAGATATTTTATTGAAATTTTATTTTTTAAAATCTATAACGTCTGCAGCTAAAAATATCTGTGTTTGTATATATTATAATACCGAAGAAGAGATTCAATTTGATGCATTTTTATTGTTTAAAAGTGTTTTTATGTATAGAAATCGCCCACATGAGTATTTTCATATATTAAGCTGTACAACTTGTTGTACTACAGTGGAGTCCAGTTTGTCAAACGATAGTTTTTCACATACAAAAAGCCAGTGAAGAATGAAAAAGAATGTAAAGAAAAGTAGGGTTAGCTCACCATAAAGACAGTTGTTTTCTTCAGGATTTGCTTTTGCAGCAGCCAATTTTAGCTTAGATATAGATTACCTAATCCAGTGTATAAAAACATATTAATTTGACGATCAATTTGTACTTAGCTGTGTCGGTCTTCTCGGTTGCACATTCCGAAAACTTTTGCTTCTTAACAAAAGCTAATTAGTCCAAGTAAACTTTGATGTCAACTTCATTATTTTAATTATCAAATATTGATCATTTCAATCATTCAGCTCTAGCTATTTCAAGATATGTAATGCTACCTATATATATCTCCATCGATCTCGATCTCGATCTCTTGACTTTAAATATCTTACGTTCTCTTAAGAAAATTATTCATCGTTTGATTATTTAGTTAAAACTCGATTAATTAACACATGTCAATACCCCATTTATAGAGTTTCCTAAACTCAAAATGACAATTAAATAAACGTCAGAAGTTGATTAGTTTTAATTAGTTAACTTCTGGGATCAAAATCCTCTTCTGATACGAGTTTTGATTAATGACTTTTTTGGGGTTATTTTCTTCTTAATTAACTTAAAATTTTAAAACTAATTAAAGCTGATGAAGGGCCTCCATCATTGACTCTCCAATGTGCGTAAGTCGCCGACTGAAGCTTTTGTGTGAAAGATTAAAACTCTTTACAACCTTTAAAATCACTTTAGGTTCCAATAGGCATTCGAGTTTGGGTTGTGACTATGATTTCAATCTTCAAAAGCACCCAATTGCATCCAACCTTAATATGAGGAAGTTTCCTTCATGTAGAATTTCGAAAATAAAATACTCAAAAGGAGAAAAATTGAAAAAGAAAAAGTGGAAAAAAGGCTTATAGTATTTTGAGGAGTCACTTGGGGGGGACTGGGGCCAGCTATTTGGGGTTTACTTTAATTAAACTTAGTGGAATCACATCAAGACTTGAAAAAAAATCTACCAAATTTAGTGGAATCAAAGTGCTGTTTAGTCTGTTTAGTGGAATCAAAGTGCTGTTTAGTCTGTATATTAAACCCCCATTTCCCACATTCAATCATATTAATTCATCTTTGGTTTTGTATTATGTACATGTGTAACCCTTCAATTTTTCATCTCCAAGAAACAGTGCAATTATGTATGCAAGAGGAAAATGATATCAAAAAGTAATACTGAATTCAACACGTACTTCAATTACTTTTAATCATCATTGCGTGACATAATAGTAAAAGAATAAAAGAGGATTTAACATGATTTTCCGAATTCTAAGTCCATGGTAAAAGAGCAAGAGGATGATCTAATTGAGTCTCTCAAGTTTAAGTTCCCTTGAGGGTAAAATAGCAAGAAGGGGATTTAATATGGTCTCTCGAGTTCGAGTCTCTACGATTGCTAATAGGGATAACCATTAGAGTTCTTACTCAATTGGTAGTTTTAGGGTCTTAGGAGATTAGTTGAGATGCATATAAGCTAACTTAGACACTCCCAATCATTAAAAAAGAATTCAACACGTATGCTCATTAACTTCAACATAGTTTAACGTTTGTAAAAACTAAAAAAAGTTTATATCGGTATATGAATCTAATTCAAAAGATTTAAAGGTAAAGTTGCTAAAAATTCTTAACCCAAAACCTCAAAAAAACCTTTTCCAAGCTAGCTTCCCAAGAAGAATGAGGAAAACTCATTACTTAGGTTTGACTTTGTGTGTGAGAGATGCAAGGTATCCAAAGAACAAAGATACCCTAAGTTAAGATTTGAATAAATTTATAACGGGATTTGGGTCAAGAAAAGAATATTAGGGTTCTAAATTTTTTAGTTTCTCAACACTTAATTGAAATCAAACAAAACTTGAAAAAGGAGAATTATGCATTGAAATTGATCCCTCTAGTGTACACATCTCTTATAATTTGCTTACAATAACAATCTCCAAGACCCAGAAGATTAAAACATTAAAAGTTTATACAAACTTTTAATTATTTTCATTTACACTAATAAACAACATAAACAAAATTAACTTAATAATTAAAAAAAAAAAAAAAAAGAAGAAGAAGAAGAACAGAAACCCTATTCAACACTCAGCCATGGACAATTTATTCTGCTTCTTCAACTCCTTGTAAAACTTCTGTATAAACTCTTCAGCTGCTTTGTCAACATACCCATTATCTTCATCAACATCTCTCAACGGGAAGGGAGAGTCCGTTATTCTCAACGGCCTCACAAACGGGCTCCGTCCGAAACCTGGCAACGCCGGGGAAGCCTCCACCACCATGTCATTATTGTTGAGCATCTCGAGAACCGCCTTGACGGTGTTGATGTCGTCGTCGTCAGTAGGCGGCGCGTGGGTGCACCCGAAGAAATGGTGGTAGTTGCTCTTCCTCTTGTTGAGGTGGAAAGGGAAAGTGTAGTTGGGGGTGTTGCTGCAGCTGAACTCATACTCATTTGGGGGTAACACGTAGGAGGAGACGTGGTGGTGGCTATGGTGGTGATTGTGGTGGCTGTGATGGTGGAGGAGATTGCTGAGGGCTTTCCCGGCAATCTTGCCGCGTTTGAGCATCATGTTGAGATCAACCATGAGCTTCCTTTTGGATAGGCCTTTTCTCACCATGAAGAAAATTACACGTACTATGCTCCACATTCTTTTGGCTAACACTGGTAGATTTTGTTGTTGCTCCATTTTCTTTTTAATCTGTTTTTGTTTTTCTTGTTTTTGTTTTTTGATTTGAGAGAATGAGAGAGAGAGAGAGGGAGAGAGAGAGGAAAGAGAAGATAGTTGATTGGGTTAAGAAAAAGAGAAGGGAGAAGGGAGTATTTAAAGGGGAGGGGAGGAAGAAGGCAAAGATGGTGGTGTGCTTTAGATTTTTAAACTTTAGCTACAATTTCTTGTGGGCATGCATGGATTTTTTTTATTTTTATTTTATTTGGTACAATCATGCATGATTGGATATTATATGGTGTGTGCAATTTTACTCCTATAATATAAATTCTTTTTGTGACAACTATAAAATTGACATTCATTTACCCGCAAGTTTGGTGGCGTAATTTTTTTTAACACAAATATCATAAATTTATGAACTAATAGATTAAGACATTTTAGATGGTTTTAGATTAATATAATTTATAAAATTGATACGGACAAACTTAGTGGTATCACTTTTTTTTTTTTTTTTTTTAAACTAAAGTGTTCGAACCAATTTATATTTATTTTGACTAATCCTCAAAGGAAGCTATATGACAACAACCCATTGTCGCGGCCCCTAAGTAAAACATTTTAGATAGATTTAAATCGATACAATTTAGATGTACAATATCAATCATTCAATGTATCCATCGTCTCAATCAATTTAGAGTCAATACTCTTAAACTTTTTGGTTTACTTGACAATTTCAAATCAAAACTCTTATAAAGATCACTTTTAGGTTACTTGAAAAAATTTAAATAAAAACTCATATAAAGAGGCACACCTTAGAACTAGCTTTATAGAGTTTCCTTTTATATAAAAAATAATTAAACCAAACATGAGGATTTAGAGTAACCAATAAAATTGAAGGGATTCACATGCATGTTGGCCTTTTGGTTTACTTAACCAGAGAGAATAGTAATACAAAATGTTAAAGCTTGTGTTGTATATTGACTTTCTTTTTTTTGTAGGTTTGAAAAACATGCTCAATTTTCAGCTACAATTAAATTATTAGCCTCTCACCCTCTCCCCCCTCCAGCCACCATCTATACTTAATGTATAAGCAAGAGACCTTCAACTATAAAGCTATCTTGCAGGATTTACATGTGCACAATTATTAGTACGGTGGTGGTCTTTATTAATTTCTTGATTAAATTCGAAACTGGCTTAATTAGTGCTTGGATGAGTTCTCAGTTATATGATCATGAACCTCACGGGGCATTTGACACAATTATTAAGTATTTATACATGGGTCTTCAATTATGGTCGAAGAAAATGAAATTAATCTAGTGTAATTAAGAATAATTAAACATATTGAAAGTCCAAAAATATTACTGGGAACTATCTCTGGGTAGCTAAGTGGTTCGATAGGAACTCTTAGGTGTATTATTCAAGAGTTAAAGATTGTTATCATATATTTTAATCAATTCTAACATGTATACATATTGAAAGTCCAAAAATATCACTAGGAACTACTTCTAGGTGGTCGAGTGGTTCGATATGGACTCTTGGGTGTATTACTCAAGAGGTAATGAGTTCAAGTTCCTTCTCGGTTACTAATAGGAGTAGTTACTAGAGCTCTTACCTAGTCGGTAGTTCCAAGGTTTCCGATGATTAGTTGAGATGCATGTAAACTGGTCGGACAACCCTGATCATATATATATCATTGGGTATATTTAACTCAAAATAAAGTTGAGATACAAAGTTAGAATCTCAACCCATGTAACAGTTGATTCGATAACATGATTTTAGTTATAGGATGATTTTAAGAGTAAATTAAAGTAGATTAAAAATAGCTAACTTATACATTAAAATAAGATAGAAATTTAAATCAATAAAATCTTAGTAAAAAATCTAATTATCTAAACCGAGATAAGACATAAGTGAAAATATGGGTTTTTGTCTTTGTCTTTTAAATTTTTATATTAAAAGCTAAAGATTAATGCTAGCAACATATTAGTTTTTATTTTTTATTTTTATTTTTTTCACTCTCTTCAATATTTTTTATTTGACAAAATAAAAAAAGAATGCATGATAAATTTAATAATTTTAAAGGCCAAACACATTATTTGAAAAAAATGAAATAAAAATAAAAAGCCTTAAGCATTACAGATGGATGGATGGATCCCTTTGAGGCTCAATAGAGTGGGCTGAATCAACAATCAAGCCCAGACCATAGATAGTCCAAAGACCCAAAACCCACATATAGGGCTCAAAGCCCAGATCATGAATTCTACAGGCCTATAAGGTATTTCTTGGCCCAAACATCAAACAATACCTTAAAGATCGAAGCTATTTTTGCATGGCGACTTTTCTTTTCATTCACATGATGAAAGAGTGCAGGCCCCCAAGCCGTCAGCGTTCGCTACAGTTAGCAATGAAAATGCACCCAACATGCTTGTTAAAAAGCCTCATTCAACTCACTTTCAAGGCATTAACTATATATATATGGAATCTTTATTCAATAAATACTGTTAATGGCTTTAATTCATTCATCTCTAGCCAGCTTCATCAACTACCACTCTGCCATCCACCTTTTTTTTGGATCAATCTGCGCATGTGGGGAGATTTAGCTGCTCGTGATTTAGCTTCAACTGCCATAACAGTTTAGTTGTGGTTGTAATGGTGAGATATAGAGTTAAATGTTGTCACTTTCTTTCGTGTTACTGTCCATCCATCTGCATGCAGCCCAAAAGAGAGCTGATTGGCTAAGGATTATATGGTTACTGTGGGCCGTCCCGTGACTGCCCACAGATTGTTTTTGTATGTATTTATCAGTGTACAGGGACAAGTAACTGTTCTGGTGTTATTTAATGGAGAAAGGGATTTTGCATATGATGTTGATGGAAGTAATTGCTACAAGAAATATGATTATTTTTTGACAAATTAAATGAAAGTTTCCAATGTTTCAAGCTAAATTTTCAATTGCTGATGTCTTAAACTTCTAGCGTGCAAATCAAACTAACTAGCGATAATGGTTGATAAAAAACCTTGTTTAGAAGAAAACTTTTATTATTATTATTTTTTTTTTAATAATTGAGGTGTTAAGATCAACTTACGCATACCTCAATTAATTATCAAGGGGAGCTATCTCATAGCAACCCTCCGTTACGACACCTCAAGTAAATCATGGACAAATATACAACTTTTACTCCCAACAAAGAATCGAACCTAAAACTGTGGATTAAACCATTGCAACCCCCTTGATTTGCCCTTACCACTAAGCTACCCATGGGTGGGTTATTTAAAATAAAACTTTTCAATGTTTCCAATATGATAGTTAGGTTCATTTCATCAATTTTAATTTGCAAATTAAAATGGAACTTTCCAATTTTTCAAAGAAAATTCTTTACTATAAACATCCTAAAAGTTTTAATTTACAAATCAAGAACTAGTGATTAACTGTTGACAAACAAAATGAAAAGCTCAAAATCAGCGACTAATTCCTATTCCTTAATCTATATATTAAAACTTTCAGGATATCTACGTTGAAGAATAACTAAACATGAAAATTAAGATTTTAACATGTCTATAATAAAGTCGAGTAATTAACTATATTAGATTAACTTTTGTATTTTGTAAATCCAATAATTAGTTTCTACCGATTCAGTCTACACATTGAAAACTATAAGGCATATGTCGTGTATGATTTATACTTCTCTTAGTCTTGACATATTATAGCTTATGCATAAAAGATTTTCTATTATATGTATTTTGTAATAGTGAGAAACCTAGAGTGTGAAAAAACAGAGAGCAAGAGTGAACTGTCGTAATTTAAATGGTGGACGTAGTTCCTTGATTGGAATGAATCAGGATAAATCGTGTGTCTTTTTTACTTTTCTGTTTTTATTTTGTGTCTTTTAGTTGTGGTTTCAACAGCATATACCAGAATATGTATATTACATGGTGATGTAAAAAAATAAAGCAAAAAAAGCTCACAACTATATATCTACTAAAGAGGGATAGAAAGAGAAAGGAAGGCATGCAAGAAGTTAATCATATGAATTTCAGAAAGGTGATGCAAAAATTGAATGAAGTTAGATATGTAGAGTTATCATCATCATCACTATTCACCAACTAATTAAAGCCAAAATAATTTGCTTTTTCTCAGAAATCTTTCTTGAAAAGTCGAGCATGTTCACGTTTCTTCACGCTTCAACTGATAGCTGACATGTGAATCTCCAATATCCGCATAAATTTAGTGCTTCAGATTCCAAACAATCTATTATAAATAAACCTTCGTCAACCTCACCTTCTTCACCATTCGAAACACAGCCAATCTTCCCAATCATTCAATACCCTCTTCAGGTTCTGGCTAGTTTGTTTTCATTCATTCCTGAAATCATCAATATGGCGCCTCACGGAGAATCCATTCCCAGCAGTTTCACTTCAGCTCGCACCAACAACTTCTCCAAGCCTCCGCGACTATCGAACGATAGTTTAAGTCGAACCATATCGGATATTTCCTTCGAACTGTGCAGGGAGGAGATAGATAACATCAAATCGCAAGCGAGTCTTCCACCGATATCTGAGGTCGAGGACGCGAAATGCGAGTGTTGTGGGATGTCGGAAGAGTGCACGCCGGAGTATATCGACCGCGTGCGAAAAAAGTTCTCCGGGAAGTGGATATGCGGGTTGTGCACGGAGGCGGTGAAGGAAGAGATGGAGAAAAACGGAGGGAAAAGTGATGATGCATTGAATGCACATATGAATGCATGCGCTAGGTTTAACAAATTCGGAAGGGCGTATCCGGTTTTGTTTCAAGCTGAAGCCATGAGAGAGCTTTTGAAGAAGTCAAGATTGGAGGGGAGGGGAGCTAGGGAAAAATCCATTAGCCCTAGGGATGTTAAAAATTATAAAGGAGGGCAAAACAAAGGAGGGATTGCAAGGAGTTCAAGCTGCATCCCTGCTCTTACAAGGGAGATTAACGATCTTACAATTGCAAATTAAGGGTGTGTTTTAATTTGAAAGTGCTTTCGGAAAGCACTTTCAGATAATAAGCATAACACTTTTTTTCGCCAAAACTCTCTGCTTTTGCATGCATTTATCAAAGGGTTATGTGGGTTCCTATTTGTCACCCTCACCCTTCACTAATTAACTATCATAATTACTCCCTTTTGATCCTTCCTACCCAAATTTTAATAAGCGAGATTCGATTCGAATATCAAATATTCAGATTCGATCAGCTGAATTGTTGTTAAAACGCATCGACCCTTACAAATATAGAGTACTATATCCTTTCATCGAGTTTATAGGGTTTTTTCGGCGACACTTTTTTTGACAAAGGGGAGTTTTCTTTCCTTGGTTTCCATTTGCCTAGCTCTTTATCTTTTACTCAATTTCTAGGGTTTTTGAGGTAGAGCTAGGGCTAACAAGTTGCCTTCTAAATACCCTACTAGGGTTCTTAAAATATAAAAAAAAAAAAAAAAATATATATATATATATATAGTACCCTATTGAGTGTTTTAGCTTGATTAGATGTGGTTTAACTGTTTAAGTCATGGTCTTTAATCATTGTTATGTACAACTTTATTTATGGGATATTTATGTTTAAATAAAGTGTTTTGTTATTTTCATTTTTATAGAAGTGATCTCCTTATTTTTATCTCCTTCAATTAATAAACATGAGAATTCCCTCTAAGAAGCAAATATTATATAATCTCGATTATTTATTGGGTTTCTGAATTTGTATTTTCTTTTTTACCCATGAAAGATTAACAATAGAAATATTTGTTTGTTGAAATATACTGAATAACATTGAGTATCTCAAAAGAATCAACCAAGAGCTAGCATATACCAAAGGGAAATCTATAATAGGAAGAATTAATAGATACTGAAAATACAAAACTTTTAAAGTTTAGTTTAAAATTTTAAATAATTGGGATGTACTTAACGCAATAATCAATATGTCATATTACACACACACACACACAATCTAAAGTAATTTATAACATAAGATCTTGACATAAATATGTAACACAAGCTACTAACCTTTGATTATTATAATCCAATGGTTGAGATTTGAGAAGTTGTCTTATTATTACATTAGATTGCTCTAAATCAATGCCACAATAACCTATTTCTTCTTATTATTCACAATATAATCAGACATAAATTAACGAACACATAAACCTTACCTTATGATTGGATATTACACATTTCAACTAAACTTTCAATACCTTAAAATTAACGATTGAATAAACCTTTAATGACCATCTTTATTAACAAAAAAAAAAATCGAACTCAAGAATCCATAATCAACCTCTCAACCACCCATGGGTGGTCAAATTCCATGTTTTTGTTGATCTTGAAATGGACTAAATATTTTAACAGTGATATATAATGATTCATTTAATTTGTCAAAATTAAAACTTATAAATTTAAGTTGACATAAACCCAAACTTCACAATTTAATTTCGTATCTAATTTGAAATCGTTTAAGTTGCTTCTGTTTCTAAAAATATGAGAACCATTTCCATCATACGTAGACATATAAATAATGAAACCCAATTTTCTCTGTTTTTGTTGTTATTTCAACGATGAATCATTTCAGGTAGTGGTTACATCCAATCCAAATACTGTACATTTTTTTTGTTTTCTAAAACGTAAAAACATATAAAACATGTTTAATGGTATGACTCACATCAAGAAATACAAATTTTCAAAACCTAACATAAATAAATTTTCAAAGCATCTTAAAAAAACGTTTTCAACACTTTAATACATCAAATAAGAAACTGCTTTGCAAATAACCAAAAGGGTTTTATCCATTTTGAGTGTTTTGCCAAGAAAACATGTTTCCAAAATCAAAACAGATTTTTGTTTTGCAGAAAACAGAAGTGACCCCAGATGCAACACAAGAAATAAAGGATTTTGCAAACCTAATTAAGTTTTCATGTTGCATATTCATTACAGAATAAACTCCCAAGCAACACAAGGCAAGTTTAGAGAAAAGCAAAAGGAGGCCTAACAACCTTATCTGTCCTAGTAGCAAAGTATTTTAAGGCTTTCATGGCCGAAAGTTTAAACAAGCCAACAAAATGTAAACTGTTTTTCTGAAAGTGTTTTCTATTTATCCTTGGCTGCTCCAAATATCAGACAAAAGACCAGTTAATGAACATAAAGCAGATGCAATGAGCAGTCTCTTCTTCATTCAGTACCTTCCATGCTACTGCACGTTCATAAGAAACCGGTCTACCCATGCTCGACAAACAGATACCACCTTGAAGACAAGCAAACCCCTACAAAGTGCAAAACTCGATCAATTTCTATTCATCTTTTCATGAAAAGGAAAAAAGAATTCATAAAGCTGTCTAATTTTTCTATATAGTCAGAATTGAGGGAATTATTGAACCTGTTGCATTATCTGTGGGAACTCTGAGCAGAGAGTCTTTCGTCCATGATCATCAAATATCTTTTCCAAAGTTATGTCTTGCAGTGCAACCAAGGTTGTCTCAAGCATATCAAGTCCTGCTTGATTTGCAAAAGTGAAAACGGGCAATGCCTGCAACATAAACTCAGGTGTTTAGACAGAATTGGTTTTTAGAGAATACTAGATTTTTAAATGATATGATTTCTTTGGCCCTAGAAATTATAACTCCCCAACCAAAGACCTCATTTATCACGAGGCAAGATAAAATGAAGAGGGAGTCATCATGCACACCTTCAGAGAGCAGCACATGATAGCATCTGTGTGATGCCACAGGGTTTTGAGAACGGATTCACTCCCTTCGCTGCTGGATTTGAGCAGCTCCACACCCAAGTAACACCTGGGAAATTTAGAAACAAAAATACAAACAGTGAAACCTCTGATCATGGAACAAAACATAGCAGCAGTTTTCTTTGCATCAATGTACATTTTCAACAGCATTTCTTAGGAGTCCATTAACATACAAGCGAAAAATACAGAAACAATCTAATTTCAGTTATGTTTTCCAGTATGTATGAAATTGAAATTCAACATCTATATGACACAAAATCATTCATGACTTGATAAAGTAATGAAAAGCAATTGTAACAAAAATCAGTTTGGCAACAAATTTGTTCACAGAAAGGTATTGTCCTCCATGCTAAATAAATGATGTGACCTTCCATGTTTAAAAATTGAAAAACAGACAAATAACATACCTATAACTCTGGCAGATCCAACGAGCAAGTGTCTGTGCTTCAGGAGTGCCCAAAGGTGTCCGAAGACCAGCTTGAGAACTTAAATGAGAGGGAGAGAGTGCTAATGCAACCCTCTGAACAGATGATATAATGCTGCGGACATATTGCCGAGCCATGGATGCCACATGATCCTGCATGTGACTTTCAAATGCAAATTCAAATGCTATTGTCATCACTGATCTCATGCAGCAGCTAGAATTAGCAGAGTAGTCACTAGACACTCTATTTCCAGCTGGGCCAATCTCAAGAGCAGAAGCAAGGTCCAAGGTTCGATTTGGACTAGAGGCTTCCTGAAATATTTTGCAAGGTATCAATTAGGGAAGTTCACAATATGTGATGCAATAATAAGTAGAATAGTTCATGCAACAATGTAATTTCTTAACCAACCTTTCCAGAATCAAGAGGAATGATGCGAAAACCAGATGGTAAAAGAGGAGCATCATCAGCAAACGAAGCATCAATGGGAGCAAATATAAGTTCAGCACAGGTGCCAATAGCATTTTCATCCATTCCACTACAGAGCTATAAAACAGTACAAGAGGAAATTTTACCAAGAGACCCAACAATAAAATCATTGTGAAGACCAAATATCAAAGACAACATAAGTATTTCCAAATATGCCATATTAACCGTTCACAAGCGTAAACTAATCAAGAACAGTGCATTCAAAAGTAAGATCCTTTTTTGTAATTGATGATATTGCTTGAACACCAAATTGCACCAGAAGGTTAATTCTGTGTGGACATAGCAAACTAGCTGATCAAAGTGTTGTAGACTAAATTTTACTGGATAACCTAAAGCTTGGGAAAGAGGAAGTGAGGAACATATTCATTAACACAAGTATGTTCTGATAAGCCTCTAAATTGCATAGCCATTTCAACACCAATGGAAACAAACATTCAACATGTTATATCACACAGGCACTTGCTTCTATCTGTTATCAAGGAAGTAAAATAAAACAAAATTGAAAGCATCCCTGATTTGTCGCATACTGTACAATGCAATTTAGGGTCAAACAAATATGATGCTTAAAGAAACCCACAACATTCTCAAATCCAGGTCATAACACAAGTCCAACTCATACCTTAGATGTGACTATTCTTGCTTTCTTAACAAAAGTTAGACAAAACAAACTAACTGAAGCTAAATTATTATAAAACCTATAATTGCACAAATTGAACTCTTGAAAGACGAAATAGGAAAACAATATAAAGAAATGATACTTACTTGCAAGAGAAACATGTCTCTAGGCATTATAGCGTCTTCAGGAGAATGGCCAACACCTTCCAACTTGATGACCTCCAAGAACTACAAAGCGAAAGAAACAAAAAAGGAAAAAAAAGGATCATGTCCAAAATATATATTTTAGAAAAAAGAAAAAGGAACCACAAAAAGTAAAACCAAGTTCTTATATCACACTAATGCATAAGAAAGAATAATACAGTATAATAAAATAATTGTGGATAACTATAAGTATCAAGATGCTTACCTCTTCATGTTCAATAGTGTGAGCCAGTGGAAGAATAACTTGACTCCCAAAACCTCCAACTCTGGACCCTGCTAAGCTACAGGGACCAACCTTGATAGCTGCAGCTGAGTAAACATCAATATTATTGTCTGCCCATTCTGACCTGTGCTCTCGCAAAAACCGAAGAAGGATTGCTGGAGGCACATTCTGAAAATGAAATAGTAGACAAAAGAATTGGTATTAGAAAGAAAAGTTGTTTAAAATTCATATAAGAAGCTGAATCCAAAACATAACAAGATTTGCGATAGTGCTCCATTCAGAGGAAAAAAGTTCCAACAGATTTGGTTTGCTATGTGCTTTGCCTTTGGACTATACTATCAAAAGCATAGCCAACCAACGGCCACCAAGAAAAATAAGAACAAATATTTTCAGTGTACCAACCTGCAAAAGCATTGATGCTTTTGCACATAGGACTGCGTTGCTGACAGCTGGAAACCCATTAGCAAAGGAAAGGTTTAAACCCATTAGCTTTTCAGGAGATGAGTTCACAAGAATGGTAACATCATCCATGCCATCATTTCCCATCACTGTCCATCCCTCATCAGTAAATCCATTGACAGCCTCATTAAAACCCCTATCAGGAAGCATATATCAGATTTGAATACCAGAGAAATATTTACTAACTGCATGAGATGTCAAATTAGAGATACAAACCTGCTCAATCGCTGGCTAAGTGCTCGTAGAGCGGCAGGTCGCCTTCCCCAGCCAGTGACATTAGACT